GCCTGTTTTCGAATATTTCAAAGTAAGAAAGATCAGAAACAAAGTTTCTCATTGTTTTGAAGTTGTCTACATTGTCTGCATTAATTGCAATTAGATTTATTATTTTTAAAACAGTAATATAAATTTGTTTCTATAAAAAAAGCCAAGCATTTTCGTTCTTCACGTGGAAATGAGAATTTCAGATATACTAGGAAGAACTAAGCACGTTATTTGGCACGTTAACTAAGCACGTTATTTGGCCTTCTTTTATTAAAAACACGAATATATAATCTACGGATGCTCCTGTTACAACAAATAAACTTGATTAATTTATGTACCGTTGCATTCTTAGAATTTTTTGAGAACTTTTGTTTATGAACATTCATCAACTTGAGCTTAATTTTGATAAGATAACTAATTCAATATCTTTCTTTAAAACGATGTCCATGAATAAAGATTATGTTAATCTTAATGGTTTCTTTATCGTTTAACTTTTCACTAGAAAACATTTGTAAAAGTCTACTAACTGCTAACATGAATGATATTCAGAAGGAAATTACTTAAAAAATAGTTTGAGTTAATAAGTGTAGTAAGAAACTTACTGTTGAAAATATTTTTATAATGGATGCTAATTAACGAACTACTATAACAAATAAGCCTTGGAACACAGCTACAATTACTGTAGGGTAACAAAATGATGATAACATCATAGAATAAAAGCGAAACGAAAGTTTTTGGTTTATAAATAACAATCCGTTATGTAATTTCATGCACAAATCTGTTTTTTTCAAAAAAGAAATGTAACGGTAATTCTTTTATTTCAATAAATCTTTAAAGTGCAGCTAAAAAGCTCGAATTGTCTCATTCTAATGTTTACTGCTTTTGCAGAATAAAGGACATAATTTCAACAGTAAGTTTCTTACTACACTTATTACTAAACTCTTCTTTAAGTAATTTCCTTCTCAATATCATTCATTTCAGCAGTTAGTGGACGTACAAAAATGCTTTCTAATGAAAAATTAAATGATAAAGAAAATACTAAGATAACCTTTATTAAAACATGATTACATGTTATGTTAGTAATCGTATTAACTCAGTTACGTTTATTTTACAGTTTTGGGAAATTATCCGGGCCTTCTTTCGACTAATGCATCTATAACTGTGAAAACAACAACAGCACCACTTATGGCATTTATTCCATCCTTATATCAAGTTTATTTCAACCAAACCTTCTGTATAGATGGTTCATTATCTGCTGATTTGGGACGACAACAAGGAGAACTGAAGTTCTTATGGATCTGTTCAAAAAACAATAGTAATGGATGTTATGTTCGTGACAGGGGCGGTAGAGGGTACATTCGGCTAGAACAATGGCTGCAAGAAACTACAGCGCCATCTATATGCATTCCAGGTGGATTATTAAACTCTGGACTGTAAGTAGTTCTTGATTTGATAATGACTTTATAGTGTTGTTTGTCTTTATTAGTGTTTATAATAATCTGTATATCAAAGTTATTCAACATTAATTTATATTCTTTAAAGCAATATATGATGCCTTTCTTACTTTCCTTTCAAACTGCAATTATTTAAAGAATCTGTTGTCTTGATTCTAATTACGGGTTATAATTTTAGCAGTTTAACAGGAAATATTTTCAAAAATTACTCCGAAAAATGATTGCGCAAAAAGAACACACTCGTGATCAAAAATTAATTTGAATAGGCACCAAATTTGAGATTTTAAAGCTTCCCTAAGCAGAGATGTAACAATGTAATGTTATTTACTTATCTATGTTGTCGCTACAACAGGTCTTGTTTTATTTTATTTTCAAGAAATAAAGATATGTTCCTGAAAATAAACATATTTCCTAAAACAATAGTATCAGTCTGTGCTTATGTATTACAACAGCAGTTGAAAGGTTAGTGATGCGAGAAGTTATACGAGTAATAGTCAATTTTTTAGCTTGATTGGTGGACGGCAGGCTGCTACCGAACTTACTGCTTTCCCTATGATTAATAGTTAAGAATGACGCACGAAGTTAGATTTAGTAGATTTGAAATTTATAAAAAATAGCTATTTCAGCTGTACATATAAACGTTTAATTTATTGTATTATTTGTAACTGTGATGAAATCTAAGTAGAAAAAACCCAGCCATATGCTCAGTGAATGCACACGAGAACACATACGTAGTTTCGATTAAAGATCAAGATATGCCTGTAGCTCGATACTTCAACAAAGCTAATCATACCATTGAGCACTTTAAAGTGCTTGCTCTACGACAAGTCCCTCTAACACAGATAAAAGAATTCTGACCAAAAATAAATCGTTTTTAAATTAAATAGATAAGTTCTTTTGGTATTAACGAATAGTCCAGCTTTTTATAATTCTTAAAATAACCTCATTTTAATGTTTTAAAATTACTGAAGTTATTTATTTCATATTTTTTTAGACTTGTTCTTATTAACTGATTACTCCATTAAGTATTTTGAAGTACATGTCTTACGTCATGTCCCCTTCAACAACAATCAAAGAATCATAACTGAAAAGGAAATTAGTTTAATCAAGTTTATAAGTCATTTTCTGTATTAACGAACAGTTCTCCTTTTTTAAAAATAACCTTCATTTATTTTTTCGAGAACTGATTTAATAATTGTTTTTTAAACTTATTATTTTAACTGTATTATGTATTTTTATCTATATAGTCAGTGTTTAAATCTCGTGTTACATTCTGTTCTGGTGTGTTGTTACCTTTGAGAACATCCAGTAGTTGTTCTTAATTAACCGACAGGTATATTTCATTATTTCGTAATCTTCGCATAATAATCTTCGCGTAATCTTCTTCATTCAATAATGCAAACTATGTTGTCCTTGTTTTATGATTATTTTATATTCGACTGTAATCAAAAGCATCTTTCAAATAACGTAGGCACTGTGGTTAAGTACGTAAAACCTATTTAATGCACGAATGAAATAGTTACTATACCAGCTTAATAAAACGTAAAATAAAATGTTCAGATTTGAATAATCTCTACATGTTTTAACTGGACCATCCAGTCATCCTCAGGAGGACACCAAACTTCAAACTCGATATTAGATCAGCTTAATGATTTAGGTTTGTTCCGAATACAGGAATTAAGCTAACAATTCAAAACAGTCTCTGTAATAAATGTTTAATAAAGATTAACATTAAAAACAATAAAATTAGATATATTAAGCATTTCATACAATGCTGTTAATGAAAGTAACAACAATGACATAATAGGGTACACCTTTCTTAAGGAACACACAGTCACTAGCTGTTGGTTTCAAGTACTGTCGTGGGTGTAATAAATTTATTCAATAACGTTTCATCACTATATCCATCTATAAGCAGAACTATATACAACATTCCCTAAAATTAATTTTTGACCAATAAAAACCCCTTGTATTGTATTGAGGTAAACTGCTATAACACATGTTGTCTTTAAAACAATTAAGTCAAGCCAGAAACTAATGTTTATGAAGATACAAAATGATAAGTAGTAAATACAATTAATACCATAATTATACAATAAATGACTAAAGTGCTGTCCCAATAATTAAAACATAACAATGTTAAACGTAATATAAATAAAAAAATATGTTAAAAACCTACTACAAGGTATGTCTAAAATTATTATTGCCACTTTTCGTAATTTATGTCATTTAACAAAATACAAGGCCCGACATGACCAATTGGTTAGGGTGCTCGACTCCCAATCTGCGGGTCGCGGGTTCGAATCCCCGTCCCACCAAACATGCTCGCCCTTTCAGCCGTGGGGGCATTATAATGTGACGATCAATCCCACTATTAGTTGGTAAAAAAGTAGCACACGAGTTGGCGGTGGGTGGTGATGACTACCTGCCTTCCCTCTAGTCTTACACTACTAAATTAGGGACGGCTAGCGCAGATAGCTCTCGTGTACCTTTTCGCGAAATTCAAAAACAAACAAACAAACCAAATACATAGAACTAATAAGAGCAAAGTTATAAATAATGTTAAATCATCGGCAAAAACCGAAAGGAAAACGCGATATATTTCGAGAACGTTTATTATTAGTGATAATGAAACCTACTTAATAAAGTTAAACAAACGTAAATATGGCAAATAAGGTATTTAGCAAACTATTTAAGTTAATAAACTTATGACTTAATATCATGTCATGTACAAAACTATTAGAAAGGCTTAAACTAACGAGAGGACAACTGACGATGGTCAAGACACTCAAGCGATTCACTATTACGTTCATCAGTTATCAACTGAAAGTTTAAAAATGACCGTGATATTCTGTGAAACATCTAAAGTTATTGTCAGCGGCAAAAATGTTATAAACTTCCCTTCAAATTTTGTGATAGTAGAAACCTCGTTTGTGAAACATGCAAGAGGTGACGAGGGCGCTCATCTTGCAATCTCTAGATCGCGGGATCGTTGATAAAGAGTAGACCAAGAGTTAATGGTTGGTCGCGTTGCCTAGCTGCCTTTGCTCTAGATTATCTTTTCAACATTACGGATGGTTAGCAGAAGTAACCCTCGAGTAGTTTTGTGCAAAATTCAGCAAACAAACAAACAATAAATATAATACCTCGTCATCTAAAAAATTGTTTAAAGGATCAAACAACATTGAAAAAGGCAATAAGTCGTAATGTCGAGTAGAATGAAAAGGATCAAAAAGGTTTACTTGAACTCTAGATGGCCGACATTTATTGTATTTACTTGTTAATTTTCAGCATAATATTTCATTAATTATAATGCACATGTAGTCTATCAATTAAAGATTTGACTGCGTTGCTACCAGTTTTCCAAAGTAAAAGTTTGACGATTCTTTTTTTTTTTTTCCTTAGTTA